CTTCACCTGGTGTCGAAAGTTGCTTATTCTCTGTAAGTTAAAGTGGGAAGAGACACGTTTTTAGCTTAAAGAGGCCCTCATTTCCAGATGTATATCAGTATGTAGTGTCTCTACTTTAAAGAGTCCTCTCCTGCTGATGTTCAGGTGTATATCAGTATGTAGTGTCTCTACTTTAAAGAGTCCTCTCCTGCTGATGTTCAGGTGTATATCAGTATGTAGTGTCTCTACTTTAAAGAGTCCTCTCCTGCTGATGTTCAGGTGTATATCAGTATGTAGTGTCTCTACTTTAAAGAGTCCTCTCCTGCTGATGTTCAGGTGTATATCAGTATGTAGTGTCTCTACTTTAAAGAGTCCTCTCCTGCTGATGTTCAGGTGTATATCAGTATGTAGTGTCTCTACTTTAAAGAGACCTCTCCTGCTGATGTTCAGGTGTATATCAGTATGTAGTGTCTCTACTTTAAAGAGTCCTCTCCTGCTGATGTTCAGGTGTATATCAGCATGTAGTGTCTCTACTTTAAAGAGTCCTCTCCTGCTGATGTTCAGGTGTATATCAGTATGTAGTGTCTCTACTTTAAAGAGACCTCTCCTGCTGATGTTCAGGTGTATATCAGTATGTAGTGTCTCTACTTTAAAGAGTCCTCTCCTGCTGATGTCTAGGTGTATATCAGTATGTAGTGTCTCTACTTTAAAGAGTCCTCTCCTGCTGGTGTTCAGGTATATATCAGTATGTAGTGTCTCTACTTTAAAGAGTCCTCTCCTGCTGATGTTCAGGTGTATATCAGTATGTAGTGTCTCTACTTTAAAGAGTCCTCTCCTGCTGATGTTCAGGTGTATATCAGTATGTAGTGTCTCTACTTTAAAGAGACCTCTCCTGCTGATGTTCAGGTGTATATCAGTATGTAGTGTCTCTACTTTAAAGAGTCCTCTCCTGCTGATGTTCAGGTGTATATCAGCATGTAGTGTCTCTACTTTAAAGAGTCCTCTCCTGCTGATGTTCAGGTGTATATCAGTATGTAGTGTCTCTACTTTAAAGAGTCCTCTCCTGCTGATGTTCAGGTGTATATCAGTATGTAGTGTCTCTACTTTAAAGAGTCCTCTCCTGCTGATGTCTAGGTGTATATCAGTATGTAGTGTCTCTACTTTAAAGAGTCCTCTCCTGCTGATGTTCAGGTGTATATCAGTGTGTAGTGTCTCTACTTTAAAGAGTCCTCTCCTGCTGATGTTCAGGTGTATATCAGTATGTAGTGTCTCTACTTTAAAGAGTCCTCTCCTGCTGATGTCTAGGTGTATATCAGTATGTAGTGTCTCTACTTTAAAGAGTCCTCTCCTGCTGGTGTTCAGGTGTATATCAGTATGTAGTGTCTCTACTTTAAAGAGTCCTCTCCTGCTGATGTTCAGGTGTATATCAGTATGTAGTGTCTCTACTTTAAAGAGTCCTCTCCTGCTGATGTTCAGGTGTATATCAGTATGTAGTGTCTCTACTTTAAAGAGACCTCTCCTGCTGATGTTCAGGTGTATATCAGTATGTAGTGTCTCTACTTTAAAGAGTCCTCCTGCTGATGTTCAGGTGTATATCAGTATGTAGTGTCTCTACTTTAAAGAGTCCTCTCCTGCTGATGTTCAGGTGTATATCAGCATGTAGTGTCTCTACTTTAAAGAGTCCTCTCCTGCTGATGTTCAGGTGTATATCAGTATGTAGTGTCTCTACTTTAAAGAGTCCCCTCCTGCTGATGTTCAGGTGTATATCAGTATGTAGTGTCTCTACTTTAACCTCTTAAGCACGGCGGTCCCCCCATTGGACCCCTCCCACCGTTTTTTTTTCGAGATAATGTCTCAGGGCTTCTTAACATTTATGAAACTATTCATGTGTAGCACCAGATTAACGGGAAGAATCTCAGCTAACTGAAGATATGAACCATTTTTACCAAAACAAAACACAAGTCTCATAAGAAGCGTCTAAATGACCCCTGAGAGAAACAATTCTAACGCACTGCGGCACACAATTCAAGATAAAGATACCCTTATTACTTATCGTAGCTGCACATACAATATAGCCGATTAAAGCTGAGACTCCACGGATTATTTAGGTATAGTATCATCACTGAGCGATCCGAACTTGCGACAGGGGAAGCAAACACAGACATCACAACACGTACCTTTACGGAGCTTTTACGGCAGATCGTCTCACCGTAGCTGTCAATTAGGTCAAAAGATGTGTTCAATGGCATTAAAACGAAAAAAAAATGCTACAACTGTTGATCCATAGGTTGATAATGTACCTGTGCCTTTGAAAAAATTATTTATAATCCATAATTCCATTTTTTATGTAAAAATCGGAGCGGAAAAGTTAGCTGCTAATGGTAGCCATTACAGCCATGGTAGCTGTATGCAGCTTCCGGTTTTGGTCACGCGTCACTCTCACTCCTTATTTGTTAACGTTTTGGTGTGTATATAACTTCCCCTCGATTCCATAGAGTGGCGAAGTCCCCCCCCTTCCGGTTGAGCCCCATGGGACCTTATTTCGGAAAAGTTATGCATTGAAGTCAATGGAGAGAGAAAGATTATCTTCCAATCCCGTTTGAATTGTGCCACGAATTACACATATGATGTTTGTCAATTTAAAAGATAATTTTGCAAGTCAAAAAAAAAAAAATGTGTCGTAAAACTGTGAAGTAACACATTTGTTTGTGTGAAACGCTCAATGAACTACATCTCTGGTCAACAACATACGTCACCAAGATGGCCGTCACTACTGTCTTGTCAACAAACGATTGACTACCCTCACTATCACCACAATGAAACACGTCCTGAAGAATGTCATGCAAAGCTGCCTGCCTGCCTTCCTTTGATTCTCTCTGAACTGCCTGGTCGTTTTAATGTTTAATGTCAACCATTTGTGCAGATAGCATGAAGTAGAGAAGATCGCCGATGCTAACGTTAGCGTTAGCATTTCTCCCCCGGGCTTAAATGGTGTATTATAGAATGATCACACCGGTGACAGTACTCTTCAAAGGGTTCACGAAATATGACTACTACTCTTACTGTTTAACATTTTGGGTTACTTAATGTTACTTCATGTTAAGGCTAATACAAATGACAAGGCTGTAATGCGAACTAACGTGCTAGCTACTAGCTAGGTAGCTAACTTGATCAAGTCACTCCTGGTCCTTTCATCAGACGGGAAGCAAAAGAATGAGCAAGACCCATTGCTGGTATAATAACAACCTGGTACTAAGCACACAGGCATCTTGTTAAAGTTATCTTATCTTAGCCAGCGCCATATAGATAGATTATATCTATATTGCGCTGATCTTAGGTATCTGAATGGTGGAGGAAAACAATTGTGACATCAGTTACGCGACTCTGGGATTTGTAGTCTTTCTAGTTACGTATTTTTCATAGTCTTATATTTCAACAGTTTTACGACAAACTGTGACTTTTTTGACATGGAAATTATTTTTTAAGATTGACAAACATCATATGTGTAATTCATGGCACAATTCAAACGGGATCGAAAGATAAGTTTTCTCTCCCCATTGACTTCAATGCATAATTTTTCTGAAATAAGGTCCCATTACCCGGAAGTAAGTGGGTGTGACTTCGCCACTCTATTGGCTCTAGCGGTTAGAAAGAGATTTCATTCATCAAAATCGAGCAAGGGGGGCCAGAGACAGGTCAAATCCACCGAAATGACCCCAGAAGGGGGTTTTTGGCTAAATCTCTCTAAAAAGGTCAAATTTCACTTGTTTTGCATCAATCTTGATACAGGGTACTTATTACATGTTGTACTTTGGATTCCTAAAGCTTTTAGTCTACTAACCCATCATCCAAGGGTAGTTTTCACTATAAATAAAAAATAATCTTTGGACGGACACTATAATTTACAGTTTTTTACTATGTAAAATCTGAATTTTCTTTAAAATAAAAAACATCTATATTGATTCTGATTTTTCTACATCCAACTCACAGGTTTATCATTACTTTGAGAAAAAAGATTATTAATTTAATCCTTTTAGAAGGGAAGATATGGTCATTTGTTCTGGGAATTTCATTTTCGAGCCTGAGACCTGAAAAACAGGCTCAGGGCTTAAGAGGTTAAAGAGTCCTCTCCTGCTGATGTTCAGGTGTGTATCAGTATGTAGTGTCTCTACTTTAAAGAGTCCTCTCCTGCTGATGTTTAGGTGTATATCAGTATGTAGTGTCTCTACTTTAAAGAGTCCTCTCCTGCTGATGTTCAGGTGTATATCAGTATGTAGTGTCTCTACTTTAAAGAGTCCTCTCCTGCTGATGTTCAGGTGTATATCAGTATGTAGTGTCTCTACTTTAAAGAGTCCTCTCCTGCTGATGTTCAGGTGTATATCAGTATGTAGTGTCTCTACTTTAAAGAGTCCTCTCCTGCTGATGTTCAGGTGTATATCAGTGTGTAGTGTCTCTACTTTAAAGAGTCCTCTCCTGCTGATGTTCAGGTGTATATCAGTATGTAGTGTCTCTACTTTAAAGAGTCCTCTCCTGCTGATGTTCAGGTGTATATCAGTATGTGGTGTCTCTACTTTAAAGAGTCCTCTCCTGCTGATGTTCAGGTGTATATCAGTATGTAGTGTCTCTACTTTAAAGAGTCCTCTCCTGCTGATGTTCAGGTGTATATCAGTATGTGGTGTCTCTACTTTAAAGAGTCCTCTCCTGCTGATGTTCAGGTGTATATCAGTATGTAGTGTCTCTACTTTAAAGAGTCCTCTCCTGCTGATGTTCAGGTGTATATCAGTATGTAGTGTCTCTACTTTAAAGAGTCCTCTCCTGCTGATGTTCAGGTGTATATCAGTATGTAGTGTCTCTACTTTAAAGAGTCCTCTCCTGCTGATGTTCAGGTGTATATCAGTATGTAGTGTCTCTGCTTTAAAGAGTCCTCTCCTGCTGATGTTCAGGTGTATATCAGTATGTAGTGTCTCTACTTTAAAGAGTCCTCTCCTGCTGAGAAAAGTGTGTGTTGTGGTTCTCAGCTGACGATGATGAAGAAGAAGGAGCAGCTGCTGCAGGAGTTTGATGAAGGGCCTCTGGACTTTCAACCCACCTACAAGTTTGACCTAAACTCCGACAATTATGACAGCAGGTAATTGCTCCAAATAACGTCGTAATCAGGATCTAATTAATCATAATCACACTTCTTATGTAAACATAAATAATTTGATTGAATATTATTTACTTAGTGCACATTTTTAACTTAACTTCTTAATTTTATTTAAATATTTGTATTATTTATTATCTTTTTATTGAATATTTGTACTATAATGTCTTATGTCTATCCATGTAGAGTGGTGCAGGAACGAGTCCTAAAACCAGGAAGTGAGTCAGCATTTCACCACTTCCTGTTCCCTCGTCTCAGAGCCAATGGGATCTCTCCATAGGATTTTGTTCTGTTCTGCTTGAAAGCAAGTGCCTGCCTCCTGCAAACTGTTCAAACAAACGCTTCAACTCGTACCATTTAGAATCTGTATGTTTGAATATGGATCTTAAGTTGGCGTGACGTTGAAGTCGTGCTGCTGTAGTTCGTTTATAGCATAACATTAGCATTTTGCTTCTGGCCATTAGATTTATGATTCAAACATTATAAAAGTAGGGTAGACATGTGGAGATTATCCGGCTGAACAAAACGTGATCCGTCTCTTAAATGTGTCTCAACCACAGACCTTATTTCCAGCTATTTTCTAAAATCCTAAGGAGACATCGCATTGCGTTTTTGTCGAGGGAACCGGAAGGAACCCATGCGCAGCATCCTTCCGGGTTTTAGGACGCGTCACTGTGGCACTCTATGGTTATCCTATTTTATTTTCCTTTCTTCCTGTTGCACATTTGTAATTACATTTCCTATTTATTATTCTATTTTATTTTCTTATTGCAATTATTTTCTTAATTTCATATACATATTTCTATTATTTCTTTAACTATATTTCAACTTATATTTTCCCCCTATTTTATCTTCCTGTTGCTAATTTTTTATTTAATTTCTTATTTTTATACATATATTACATTTTTATTTTATTCAATTTTATCTTCTTTTTGCACAATCTTTTCATCCTCTAATTAAACAATATATTTTCTATTTTATTTTATTTTTTGCACATTTTTACCCTAATTCCTTGTTTTTGGAAATATAATTTAATTCCTTTTTATTTTATTTACTTTTTGCAGCCAGGCTCTTATAGCTCACAGACATGGATGTAAACAATGCACATTTAATTAAGTTCTCAAAGCATTTACTTAACAATTGTTTTATGAGCTTTTTTCTGCGTATTAATACATTGATAGCACTACAGCTCATAGCAGGGTGTTGTCTGCACCACAGGGAGATTTCCCCCGTAAAAAGTGATGCCAGAAAACAATATTTCTGTTCCTCAAAAACTGTATAATGACTCCAGAAATCTGAGCATCAAACAGAGCGTCAGACGGCAGAGACAGCTTTGTTTTTACGAAGCTCCGACGTCACGTTGTTGTTTACGTCACGTTGTTGTTTACGTTGTTGTTGCAGCGCCATCTTGTATACGGGCGTCATGTTCTCGCCAGAATTGATATATCTTATAAACAAGCTCAGCGCCACAGTATCACCTCATACGATATCTTTACAGAAAAAAACCCTGGATTGGAATAATATATAATTTGGATTTTGAAGTCAACCGTTATCATAGAAGATGCATTTTTACAAGGAACCATGAATGTATATATAACTCCACAGGGTGCTTTTAGATAGTTAGTAGTCGGTATTAACCTGCATTTAACCTCTGAGCATGTTTTTTATATGTACAGTTAAAGCTCTGAGCTGCGGCTGCATAACAGCTAACATGCATGGCTAGAATACACATATCATTATAACACAAGCGATATGTCACTGTGTGGATAATTCAATATGTTTGTGTTGGATTTGATTGAATTACCCAAACATGGTACCACTGTTCCTGCAGGTTGCTGCCAGACTCACTGTTCTGTTTAAAGCTGGTGTTTCTGCACAGTTACAGATGCCAAACTAATATCATTAGTATTACACTAATTGTAGAATAAGATTCTAAGTGTGGCTCTGTGAAAGTGGAGCCACAGGTCTTGCTTTTTAGAAAATATCCCACGTTTTTTCAGGCGGTTTTCCTGTAGTATTTTTGACTTTTATTGTAATTATCCAAAATATTTTTTTTATTTTACTTGTAATTGTTGAGTCTCTTTTCAGTTGTTACTTCCCTTTCAAAGTATTTTATTTTAATGTATTTTTGTCTTTTTTAACACACTTCTGCTTCTGGGTTAGGGTTAGGGTCCCAAATTGGGATCAATAAAGTTTCTATCGATCTGGTTGAATAAGCAAGGATTAAAATATAGGTGCCTGTCAACGTGTGGGAAGATTTGGGATTGACTCAATGTGCCGAATAATGGGAGGAACTACGGTCAAATAAAAGACAAGAAAAATCTTCCGCTTTATGTCCACATATTCTCAAATAACATAAGAAAATAATAATAAAAGAAACAATTTGTAAATATTGTTTTCCTCAGCCTGATTTTAATACACTTCAGACTGAGGAGAGTTTAAAATCTGTCAGACTTCTACAGACTTTTCCATTCAAAGTCAGGCAAATACCGGATAATGTAAACGCTGGTTCCTGGTAAGTTATAAACAATTTGGACCTCGGGTGCTTCTCAATGTCGAGGACGCTTCCTTGGTAGGACATGTCCCTCCGAGTCAGGTCCTTCAGAGGCTAGGCAAGAATCCTTCCTTTCATTCGGAGAACGAAGAATGGGACAGGCGAGCAAGTGTGCAGGTGTGCGTCATACACATGTGCATCCTCGACATTTCCCGCAACGCAGGATCCAGTCCTCGGTAGAATTCCAAGGATCCTGGACATTGGAACAGTCCTTCGGCGAGACTCGATGACGTAGCATCCTTGAAATAGTGGCTCTGGAGCAGCCTTCCTCGACATTGAGAAACACCCCTTATCTCCTCACTAAACCTCCCCTCTTTTCCTCTTCTTCTCTTATCACATTTTCCAGCGGTAAGAAGCGTAAACCGGCCTGGACCGACAGGATTCTGTGGAGGCTGCGACCCGCTGAGGAGGAAGAGGGAAACTCTGCTCTGGAGGTGAAAGAGGAAGAGGAGGAAGAGGAGGAGAAGGAGGAAGAGGAGGAGTTCCCGCTGAAGATCAGGCAGGATCTGTACACCTGCAACATGGAGTTCAGCATCAGCGACCACAAACCAGTCACCGGGGTCTTCACTCTGGAGGTGAGACTCACACAGATACACTGCAATACCTCTCACACACACACACACACACACACACACACACACACACACACACACACACTCACACTCACACTCACACTCACACTCACACTCACACTCACACTCACATACACACTCACATACATACGTATCCTCTCCTGGTATTGTTTTTTTTTTTTTTTTTTTATTAATTTCTTTTATTTATTTATTTTTTCTTTGAATGGAATGAATACCTATTGTGATAATTCAATGTAATACATAATTTGTATAGTCTGGTACCTGAAAAAGGTCAAATGGCACTGATGGAACCAGATGTACCCAAATGTGCCGAAAGCTTATTCCGCCTGGAACTGTTTTTTGCTAAACCTCTCTAAAAAGGTCAAATTTAATTTGTTTTGCCTCAATCTTGATACAGGGTACTTATTATATGTTATAGTTTGGATTCCTAAAGCTTTTAGTCTACCATCCCATCATTCAAGGGTGGTTTTCACTATAAGTAATGGGTTTTCTTTAGGCGGAGGTAAGAATTTACCTTTTTTTACTATGTTCCATCTGAATTTACTCTGACTGAGAAAAATCTATATTGATTCTGACACTTCTACATCCAACTCACAGATGTAACCTTGCTTTGATAAAAGAAATTATTCATATAACCCTTTTAGAAGTGAAGTTGTAGTCATTTGTTTTGGGCATGTCATTTTCGAGCCTGAAACCTGAAAAACAGGCTCGGGGCTTAGTTAATGCACTTAATTGTACGTCGCGTTGGATAGAAGCAGTAGCAAAATGAAATGTAATGTTTTATTGGGTTTTACCTTTAAAAAGCTACGCTGATTAACCTGATGTTTGTGTGTGTGTGTGTGGTGTGTGGTGTGTGTGGTGGTGTGTGTGTGGTGTGTGTGTGTGTGTGTGTGTGTGTGTGTGTGTGTGTGTGTGTGTGTGTTTCTGTGTGTTTCTGTGTGTGTGTGTGTGTGTGTTTCTGTGTGTTTCTGTGTGTTTCTGTGTGTGTGTGTGTGTGTGTGTGTGTTTGTGTGTGTGTGTGTGTGTGTGTGTGTGTGTGTGTGTGTGTGTGTGTGTGTGTGTGTGTGTGTGTGTGTGTGTAGCTGAAGAAGAGGTTCACTGCTCCTCTGGTGCGTGTGAAGGCAGAAGGAGAGTGGAGTTCAGAGCTCGACGCGGTGGTTCTGTACCGAGCGATGCAGCCGTTCCCCTCCAGCTCCTGGGACTGGATCGGACTCTTTAAGGTCAACCAGGGTCATTCAGAATAACAAGGGTTTTAGATGGGATGAATGTGAACGATATTGGGCACCCTTTGTAATAGATAATGCAAACACAAATGAAATATAAATATATGGCTTTCACATTCCCCCTGTGACCATCTTGATGTGTGTTTGAATGCAGGTGGGGTTCAGCAGCGTGACGGACTACATCACCTACACCTGGGTCAAAGACGACGAGATGAACTCCAGTGAGGAAGCCACTCAGGTAGAGACTCCTGCAACACCTTTAATAACATGTTGGAGTTATTAAAATACCTATGTTTCAAATGATCAACATGACACAGCGTCTTATTTAGACGTTAGAGAAACTAGATGCACGAGGATGGACAAGGAACGGCTAATTGGTGAATTTGAAATAAAAACAATACAAATTCAAAGGTTTGAATGTCATATGCACATAAGCTTCAGTGGAGAAATGGCAATGAAAATCTTATGACTCCTCCAACAATGCAACATATATAATAAAATACAAAAATACAAATAAAACATAGTGCAAGAAGTCTATATACACGTAAATAGAAATTGATATATACAAGAACAGAATGTAAAATGTAATATTGTACAGTAAGATGAAATTTAATACGGTTTATTACGGTGATAACTATTTTGATAAATAAGTAAATTGCAAGATGACAGTCATAACAAATCATACATTTATATTCATTTAATTTAGGGCTTTTCTAAGGACTCAAACAACAACCTTTACAATCAATATTTCATAGACAATAATACACAATTAAATGAATTATAGACAAACTATAGAACAGACATTTTAATTAAAATGAGGACCCTAACCCTGAAATAAGGACTTATCCATATGATAAATCCTTATTTCACTACACAAAACACGAAGTTTTCTACTTGTTTATAGTGTCAACATTCAGATATTCTGCAAATTATTTTACTTTTAGTTTAAGTTACTTCATTGTATTTTATTTGTGTTTTAATTTTATCTTTTAATTTTTTAATTATTATTATTTTATTATATATTTTTAAATAGTTCTAGAAAAAGTTCTATATTTGTTTATTTTTTTTAAATTATTTTCCTCTTACTGTGTGTGTGTGTGTGTGTGTGTGTGTGTGTGTGTGTGTGTGTGTGTGTGTGTGTGTGTGTGTGTTTCTGCAGGTGTATGTGAGTAAAGAGGAGATCCCTGTGCGGGGGGGGCGATTGTGTGTTGTGTTACTACAGTGGTGCTCTGCAGTGCGTCATCGGAGTCAGTGAACCATTCAAGGTGAGACACACACACACACACACACACACACACACACACTGTACACCAACAATAATCTATAAGTATGTATTTAAAAACTGTTTTAAAAAAACTGTTATGAAATTAAAAAAAATTGAATAAATGTTGACAAGAAATATAAATATAAATATTTGACTTCTTGACTAATTGAAGTAAATTACTGCAGTACATAGGAATTTAAAAGAAAAAGTTTTTTTTTTTCTAAATATGGCCGTGTCATAATACTCAATGCCGATTCTGCTTAATTTGCATAACAATAAACCAGTCTGAGCTCTTAAACCTGGCCCAGTTAGTCCCAGTCGGACTTCCTTCCTCTCAATACAATACAATACAAAGGGGCTTTATTGGCATGACCACATTTTAAACATAGTATTGCCAGAGCATTCCGCACAAGGCGTTATAACAGAACAAAACAAAAATAAACACTAAACATAAATGTCAACAATACATGTGACACAACGGGGGGTTACGTATTGTAACCCTAGTTCTATAAGCACAGGCTCCGCCCTCTACTGGACTCTATGGGTACTACTCTCATCAATGATACGTGAGCGTTCACACACTGAAGTTGTATAAACGTAGCCGGCCAATCAGGGCGAGCCTACCTGAATGCGCGAGCAGGCTCACAGTATATAAGGCAGCTCCACCGCCTGACTGTCATCCTACACCCTCTTCAGCGAGCGGTATGTAGGCGTACACCTCGCTCTCGATGGGAGCGTACCCCTGGCTCTCGATGGGGGCTGCATTGAGCAAAATCCCCAGATACCCCACCTGCTGGTGAGGTATGGGACTGCTCTTCTTCCAATTGACCGCAAACCCCCAACTTGGTTAGGTGTAAAATCAATTGGGCTGTGTGGAACATCTGCCCATTCCCTGGACCTGGCCATGACTATGAGGTCGTTGAGGTCAAATAAAACCCTCATGTCATGGTCGCTGTTAAGGAATAATTCTTCTAGATATCTAACCTTTTACTCTGACATGTGTTATCTCCTTTAAGGAAAGGCCTTGGTGCCATATGTGTTGTTGTCACCAGTGTGTGACCGGTCAACTTGACTGGCACGTAGGGTAATTGTTGTGAGAACACTGAGGCACTTCTTTATCGGTGTTTGTGGGCTCTAAGATGTGAAATCCTTGAGGCCATGAGCGTCGGACGCAGATGATTCAGTGTTTAGTCTACTCCCTCTTAGGTGCCTTACAAACAATGGACGTCCGCTCTCGGGAGCGTCGGAGTGGTGCGGTCACCCTAAGTGACAGACCTGAAGTATCCGGGATTCAGGCATCTTCCCTGGCTTGTACATTTTGGTGATGCGCCCTGGAGGTATCAGACTATTTTAAACAACTTTTCCCCGCCTTTCAAACACTTATTCCGAGGTTTTAGCCAGTCCTTTTGCACGAAATCATTTAACATTGACGGTCTCCTGAAAAAGCACATATTCTGTGCATTTTCAGGAGAGCGTCTATGTTAAATGATTTCGTGCAAAATGACTGTCTAAAACTCTCTTCCAGACATTTAAAAATACTTTCCCCGACCATTTAAACATTATTTCTGGCTTGTAAAGTGCAGTTATGCGCCCTGAAGATATTGCACTATTTACAAAATGTAGCACTCTGTTTATTTCACACCTCCAGGAGAGACCAGGGGGAAATCACCTCTCTCTGCCCGCTCACAGAGCCCCGAAGGACGGACTAGAGACCTCCAGCACCAGTCCCTAACAGTGGGACTCTGTTTATTTCACACCTCCAGGGCGGAGACCGGGAAAATCACCTCTCATTGCCCGCTCACAGAGCCCCGAAGGACGGACTAATTACCTCCAGCATGGGCCCCTAACAGTGGGACTCTGCACCTCCAGCAGAGACCAGGGGGAAATCACCTCTCTCTGCCCCCTCACAGAGCCCCAAGGACGGACTAATTACCTCCAGCATGTCCCCATAACAGTGGGACTCTGTTTCTTTCACAGCTCCAGCAGAGACCAGGGGAAAATCACCTCTCTCTGCCCGCTCACAGAGCCCCAAGGACGGACTAATTACCTCCAGCATGTCCCCATAACAGTGGGACTCTGTTTCTTTCACAGCTCCAGCAGAGACCAGGGGAAAATCACCTCTCTCTGCCCGCTCACAGAGCCCCAAGGACGGACTAATTACCTCCAGCATGGGCCCCTAACAGTGGGACTCTGCACCTCCAGCAGAGACCAGGGGGAAATCACCTCTCTCTGCCCCCTCACAGAGCCCCAAGGACGGACTAATTACCTCCAGCATGGGCCCCTAACAGTGGGACTCTGCACCTCCAGCAGAGACCAGGGGAAAATCACCTCTCTCTGCCCGCTCACAGAGCCCCAAGGACGGACTAATTACCTCCAGCATGTCCCCATAACAGTGGGACTCTGTTTCTTTCACAGCTCCAGCAGAGACCAGGGGAAAATCACCTCTCTCTGCCCGCTCACAGAGCACCGAAGGACGGACTCGAGACCTCCAGCATGTCCCCATAACAGTGGGACTCTGTTTCTTTCACAGCTCCAGCAGAGACCAGGGGAAAATCACCTCTCTCTGCCCGCTCACAGAGCCCCAAGGACGGACTAATTACCTCCAGCATGTCCCCATAACAGTGGGACTCTGTTTCTTTCACAGCTCCAGCAGAGACCAGGGGAAAATCACCTCTCTCTGCCCGCTCACAGAGCCCCAAGGACGGACTAATTACCTCCAGCATGGGCCCCTAACAGTGGGACTCTGCACCTCCAGCAGAGACCAGGGGGAAATCACCTCTCTCTGCCCCCTCACAGAGCCCCAAGGACGGACTAATTACCTCCAGCATGGGCCCCTAACAGTGGGACTCTGCACCTCCAGCAGAGACCAGGGGAAAATCACCTCTCTCTGCCCGCTCACAGAGCCCCAAGGACGGACTAATTACCTCCAGCATGTCCCCATAACAGTGGGACTCTGTTTCTTTCACAGCTCCAGCAGAGACCAGGGGAAAATCACCTCTCTCTGCCCGCTCACAGAGCACCGAAGGACGGACTCGAGACCTCCAGCATGTCCCCATAACAGTGGGACTCTGTTTCTTTCACAGCTCCAGCAGAGACCAGGGGAAAATCACCTCTCTCTGCCCGCTCACAGAGCCCCAAGGACGGACTAATTACCTCCAGCATGGGCCCCTAACAGTGGGACTCTGCACCTCCAGCAGAGACCAGGGGGAAATCACCTCTCTCTGCCCGCTCACAGAGCACCGAAGGACGGACTAGAGACCTCCAGCACCAGTCCCTAACAGGGGGACTCTGTTTATTTCACACCTCCAGGGCGGAGACCGGGAAAATCACCTCTCATTGCCCGCTCACAGAGCCCCGAAGGACGGACTAATTACCTCCAGCATGGGCCCCTAACAGTGGGACTCTGCACCTCCAGCAGAGACCAGGGGGAAATCACCTCTTTTTGCCCGCTCACAGAGCCCCAAGGACGGACTAATTACCTCCAGCATGGGCCCCTAACAGTGGGACCTCCATAACCTTGCACACCCTGAGTCCCCGGGCCCCCACAGTTAAGCACTCCCCCACGGACTAAACACAGGTATTCACACCCACCAGAACCTCGTGCCCCTGGTGACCTTACAAGGGGGTGGTTTTATGGTGCTTTTGTGTCCGCCCATCAGCATCCATATTCGGCCTTCTTCACGGCATCACCCCCCCCTTCTGTGGAGGGTATTCTCGTGCCCCTGGTGACCTTACAAGGGGGTGGTTTTATGGTGCTTCTGTGTCCGCCCATCAGCATCCATATTCGGCCTTCTTCACGGCATCACCCCCCCTTCTGGGCTGGAGGGTATTCTCGTGCCCCTGGTGACCTTACAAGGGGGTGGTTTTATGGTGCTTCTGTGTCCGCCCATCAGCATCCATATTCGGCCTTCTTCACGGCATCACCCCCCCTTCTGTGGAGGGTATTCTCGTGCCCCTGGTGGTCTTACAAGGGGCTGGAGGTTCAAACACTTTAACTTTTGTTCACCCTCCTCTGGCTTACACCTCCTCCGCCAACACTTGAGCGCTCATCACAGGGTTCAGCACCAAGGAGAGTGCCTCCCCGGTGCTGATGGAAAGTGGCACTTTTTCTGCCCCTGGTAACCATCAAGGTTATTGTTTATTTTTTATTTTTTATTTGAACAAAAAACACAGTACACAGTACAGAGAGGCTAAAACATAAACTATTTACACGTACTACTGCTGCTATAACAGTACTACTAAATTTCTTAACCTACGTTTTAAAGTGCAGTTATGCGCCCTGGAGGTGTTGCACTATTAACAAAATGTATGCCCAGGATTCTGGCACCTTTCCTGGCTTGTAAAGTGCAGTTATGCGCCCTGGAGATATTGTACTATTTACAAAATGTATACACAGGATTATAATAATAATTATATACACGGTATACATATTCACAATGTTTAGCGGGATTCAGGGGACCAAATTAGGCGTCTAATTCTTACGGTGCACCAGGGCAAACAGGTTGAGTCCACGGCCCCTGCCCCATCATCAGGAGTGTCAACCAGCCCCGGTCCCCGACTTCATTGGCCTCTTTCCCTCCCGCTTCCGCTTCCGCTGCTGCTTGCCGCTCCAATGACCCATCAGGTGAAGATGATAGAGCTGTACTGTTATAGCAGCCCTCTTCGGAGGTCTCCCCATCTGACAGCGGTAGACATCCTTCTGATGATGATGCAGCTGCTGCCGCATCTGATGACGCCCTGAACATGGAGCGGATTCTCAATGCCTCCTTTATACCTGGCGCATTCGCGTAGAACCGGTCCGCCGTGGTTACGTCGTGACACATAAACCTGGCGAGAATCGACCGGGCTTTCTGGATCTTGGTGATGCTTGATATTGTCAGCCAGGGCAGTG